TCCAAATGCTCAATCTGTAACTTTAAAACGTTTCATGATATGCTGTACCACGTACATAAACCCTCCAGGCCCCATTGTCTTTTTGCATACTTCATATAGATAACCTAAACAAAAAATATTAACAATATATTTTAATATTATATACTTTCATATTGATAAACAGTAGTCAGTATGCTCTTAACAAAAAGAAATTGTTATAATTGCTTAAAAACATGAACAAAATTTAAAAAAGATAAAATAATAGCCTAAAATAAACATTTAGAAAAGATTTCCCTGTGTTTGACTAGTCCCTGAAGGCTGATTCTGCATACACACATCTACAGCACATGATACAAACCACATACAGTAATGTATCTAACCTCTTGCGTGCATATCTCCAGGGACCTCAGCTGCCCAACCATATGCTGATTGAGACTTGTTTTTCACACTTCGGATAATTTTGTTGGTGCCTTGATCACCAACCACAAGAGTTCTACTTTTCTCAACCTGGCAACCATCTTTGTCATGTTCATCTACCTCCTGCAACTCTTCAGTAAGCAACACCTGTTCAGCATACGTACCATCAATGACACCAGATATATTTATGTCTTGTTCTCTCTCTACTGCCAAACAGTTTTCAATTATTGTGCTGATGTTTTTAAATCCTAACTTTTTAGCAATTGCATTGGGACTTGGAACTGATGTAAAATAGTTGTCGTCACATCTTGCAAAATTATCTATCTAAAGCTGCACTGTTTTCTCATCTCCCTTTATTACCGCAAGCGTAATGGGCGTAGCACCACACTTTTCTTTTACATTAGGATTAACTCCAGCATTAATAAGAGTCTGTACAAGAGGATAGTTTCCATTTTGTACAGCATGATGCAAGACCGTGCACCCACGATGATCTGCAGCATTTTCCCACGAGTCTCTATGACGTCGCATGTACTGTTGCAGTTCTACAGAGGCAGCCAAATCAACAGACTGCTTTGCCTGCCACATTTTATTTGTTAGTTTGTCCATAATTTTTTTGAATTTGCCATCAATCTTTTGAAATGAACTTGTGGTTGCAGTTTCGATTGTTTCATCAGTTTCTTTATCGTTGTCATCATTGGTTTTCTCTCCATGTTGGTCTTCACTACTAATTTCTAAATCTTTCTCTATGCTAGCAAGTTGTTTTTCAAGTTCATTCATTTCTTTCTTGTGCTCCTGAAGTAAGTAAAGAAATTCGTGGTGTTTCCTTGCACTTTCAATATCAAATGTTTTCAGGTTCTCATCATAATGTAGCACAACCTTGGCATGGTTACAGGGAATCTTTAAGTCTTTACCAAAATCTTCCAATACTGACGCTGTCCCTGTTATTGTAGCATTATTCTCTATTGAGAGCGGCAGAATTAATGTATTAGTTGGTACTGTTTCTTGCTGTTTATGTGCTGTTGTTTCAAAGGTATATGCTGATAAAAATGGTTTAGTTATATCTTGCTTTTTTAACCAGCTGTCAAATTCATCCTCAGTCATCGCACTAAACTTTGTTTCAGAAGGAGAAACCTTATTCAGCCCAGCATCTAGTAGATTTGCGAAGTATCGGTCTTTTGCCTCAGTCCACTTTTTAAAATGTTCTAGGTTTGATTCTAGTTGGAATAAGCAAAAAAAATTACTGAGATAAATGGGAACAACTGAAATAATGATTGGAAAAATTGAAGATTTACGGGATTGTACTGTTTAACTATCATGCTTTATGACTTTTGATAATATTGAACCACAACACCTTTTCAACTGTGTTGTATTTCCATTATATGTGGAATTGGTTTTAGTGGCCTGCAATAACAGGTGCCATACTTTTTGTAGTAATACATACCAATAAAAATGTCTTCAGCCTTTAATGATGACAGTGGTCTCTGACATTCATGGGCATGTTGTGTGTCAGCCAATAGTTGTCGTATATCATCACAGTTAGGAATAATCACACCTCTTACAGTGAAATTCCACATTTTTGGGCAAAGCGTTTTAAAAAGTCGATGATGCCTTTCATTGCCTCGATACATATTAATATTATCCATTAGCAACATGACAGGGATATCATGAGGAACACGATGCGAGATAATTTGATCAAAGTTATCCAGTCTCTTTTTCAAGTAAGTCTTGCTGAAAAATAAGAGAAGTTTACTTTACAAAGGAATATCCTTGCAAAATTTCGATATATATTGCAAAATTTTAATTACCGTAAACTCACAGGGTGTCAAAATGAAGAGAGATACCAATTGACTGCAACATGTTAATGAACTGTTTGCCTGCACCATAGGATAGACAAAGAAGCCCAAACAATAAAGGAAAGTCATTGCAACAATTAGAGTTTCGCACATTTAACAATAGGGCTAAAGCATGGTATCCACAAAGCTTTTTTTTTTTCGCTTGTCTTGTGCACATTCCTTTCACGAGCATTGCTGATAACTAAAGTCTCAATAATGTTCTTTAGGAAGGGACATCTCTCTTCTAGAGCACAACTGAATTCTTTAAACAAAGATGGATTGATTGACTCATTTTTCCCACTGCGAACTCCAGTGTTGCAAATATCCTCAAGGATCTTTAACTCTTTAACAATTGACTTGGTTTGTTCATGTGATAAAACAGTAGCAGAAACAACCTTACTATCCACCTCATTTTTGTAAAGTGTAACAAGTGTTTTCATGAGGTGGTCTCTTTCACTCGATTCCTTCATAAATTCATTTACTATTCGCTGTATCTCATCATTTCTCTCGCCAGCTGTTATTAAACGTTCCAATATCTGCTGCATAACATGTTCAACTGCAATAATTTGGTTCTGGATATTATCTATTTCACCTAAAAGTAATTTTCACATTGTGATTATTGTAACACCACACCAACTTCAACATCAATTAAACTGTCAAAAAATATTCATAATCAAAATGGATCACTAAGAACTAAAAATCTACCTTTCAAAGGCAATTCACACTCTGGACTTGTACAAGAGAAAACAGTTTTGCTTTTAACATTCACATAAAAAGTTCTGGTAGTATATAATCAAGGATATATATAACGCTAATAAAAAGCAGTTAACTAAATATGCAATTTAAAATCAATTATGATAATCACACTTAGCAATGAATACCTAATGAAGTTGACTTCTAACAACCTAGGCAATGACTTTTGACAAACAAATTGATTTATGGCTGGCTAACTGGCTCATAATTATACTTCATTATGCACAGGGCATGGAACTTGAAAGTGTCAAGGATACATGCCATTCACTCTATCTCTCCTGGTTCTAGACATAGGGAATACTTGTTTCATTGTGCGAGTAAGCAATGAACTTGAATCAGATGAAAGGTCAAGAGCAGATAAAACTAGATCTTTATTGACCTCACATCCCTCTTGCTGAACAAAGTAATCTTCCAACTGATCTTTCAACATTGATCTTCTATCTTTTATTTCTTTGCCCGATGGTTTTCCACCTTAAACATAAATTGAAATATTAAAATACTGGTAGTAAATGGAAAGACTCTCCCTTGACTGGAAAATAATTTCATACACTAAACAGAGAGAAAAGATACATTGAGTGCATGAATTTGCTAGTTAATAAATTAAGACATTGAATTCATAATGTAGATAGATTCAATACTCTTTCTTTTGGTACAATATGTGACAAGTAGGTAAAAAGTGGCAATTACCATTAGGTGAGGGATAGGACTAGGTAAAGGTTAGGATAAAAAGCTTTGACTCACTTGAATACATTCCTTGTCTTAAAAACCTACTTCTCACATAAACATTGTACCCTTACCTTACTAATATAGATGGGATGACAGCCTTGTAGATATCATAAATATAATATTTTTGGTGGCAACACTGCAAGTTAATGTAATAATCTTGACAAAAACAAACTATATTTCACTTAGCAATTAAGCTGAGGCCTGTTATAAACATTGCATTTTACATGTGTATGTACGCACTTTACAATTGCATTCAAAATAATGGCATTGAGCTAAAATTTCTCATTATCTATTATTGTTTTAAATGTTTTCGGACATGTAAACATGTGATGTTTTGAACACCTGAGGGCTCCGGTATGAAATATATAATTTTAAAGGTCATCTTGTTTACTGTCTCAATATTACTATTTACACTGTAACATTGAATTCTGGAGTTGACTGAGTATTCCATAATTGCTCAAAACATTTATCTCCAAATAATTCCAATATTGAATGTCACTTACCAACAAGGAAACGTTTAGATTTTGGTTGACTTAAATTCTTAGAGTCTGGTGTCAGGTCGTGCTTGATGCCTTGTTGTGAAATAGCATTACCTAATACATTGATACTGCTGTCGTCTCGTTGATCAGTTGGAAGCATCTGATGGTACAAGTTTCTTCGGACTCTTTTAGGTGTGCTGGTCATTTCTGGCGATTTGCTTATAAATATGTTCTCATGATCATCAATATTCTCGTCTATATTTGTTCAGATATGTCAAAAAATTAAACGTTCAATATTCGAGTCTATAAATGTCAGTAAAATATTAGGGAACAAGATACTTACAATTAAGACTCAGCTCTTCGATTGATTTATTTAGATCATCAATACTTTCTTCCAAACCAGCCATTTTCATTGATGTTCTCGTGTACTAGTTGAACTAAGTATGGCTGCTTCAAGTTGGATATAAAAACACTTAAAACTACATTTCGTTGTCGATGAGGTTGACTAAACTCTTGTATACAACATTCGAAACAAATATAAATCAGTGCAAACAGGAAAAACGGATTAAAACAGCCTCTACCAACTTTTCGAATGATTTACCAACTTTTTGACTCAGGATCTGCCAGTCATCTCTCCCCCTTCGTCCCGCCTTCCCTTCTCTCCCCGCGCACCGCCTTTTCTCGCGCTCCAGTTGACTACCGATCTCTTAATACCGATCTCCTAAATTCGCCTGCATTCTCTTATGTTCTCGCGCAATTCGCCTACGTTCTCTTCAGAAATCAGAACGAAAAATTAAAGACGACTAGGGACGAGTCAGGGTGAGACCCACTCTGTCGGGCTGTTCGGTACTTCCTCAATAATATCTTTTGCCAGTAGATCATCCAATTTCTGGTCCACTTTGTCTCGTAAACCAAATGGAAGTCTGCGAACCCCTTGTGCAACTGGCTTCACCTCCTTGTTGATGTGCAATTTTAACTGATAATCCTTCAGTTTTCCCACTCCTTCAAATACATCTGAATACTCTTTATGGATATCTTTATCACTCCCTTCTGCTGCAATCGAACAAACTTGCACTTCATATAAAGGACCCACATGCAACACTTTAAGCTTTTCCGCTGTACACTTCCCAAGTAAAGGTTTCCCCGCACCTTTTATCACCGTGAATTCATCTGTGCATTTCTCACCGCTAGCTTCACATACAATTTCAGATACAAATGTCCCAGCAACTTCAATGGGGTCTTTCTGACCATAGGCGAATAACTTCTTCTCCGATTTTGTTGACTGACACTCAATGTTATTTTCCTTCAGTTTACTCCATGTTCCATAATCAATCAAATTACATGATGCCCCCGAGTCAATTAGTACACCGTCCAATTGAACTCCACCAATCATAAGAGTAATCTCGCCAACACATGCTTGGCCTTTTCCAACGACGATCCATAGTCCTCCCTGGCTCTTGGTTTTTCCTCTTCATCAACACGATACACTTTCTTCTTTCCGGCTTCATTTTCTTTCTTATGCCATCCTTTTGGATTTTTAGTGTCCCGCTTTCTGCAGCATGCAGCAAAATGCCCAGTAACACCACATTCATTACACTTTTGATCCCTAGCGGGGCAAGTTCTATCCCTAGCGAAATGACCGGTGTGGTTACAGTTGAAACATCTTTGCTCAGTCCCAGTTCCCTTGCGTTGACCACTAACGTTGTTTCCATCTTTGTTTCCCTTCTTGCCTTTTTTTATAAAACCACGTCCCACTGAGTTTACCTGACCCTCCCCTGGTTTGTGTTGCGAACCAGGCTGTTCCAAGGATTTCATCTGAATTTCTACTGCTTCAAATGCTCTTGCAATCTCCTGCAAATCCTTCAAACTTACGTTAGCTCTCTCCAAGAACTTCCGACGAAGTCTAGCATTTCCGCATTTCTCAATAAGCTGGTCCCTTATTGTCTCATCAACCTTCGCAAAATCACATGTGATAGCTTTTTGTCTCAACTGACACACAAACTGATCCACCGTCTCTCCTGCAGCTTGGCTCATTTGTCGAAACAAATGTCTTTCAAAAGACATGTTTACTTTCGGTATAAAATAATTATCTAGCACCTCAAAACTCTCCTCCAAGCTCTTTTCTTCTTCTTCAGGTATCAAAGTGTAGTATAACTCTTGAAAATCGGCCCCACCAGTATGCAATAGTAACGCTACCTTTTGCAAATCCATGGTGATCCCTTTTGCGCTTACGTATAAGTTGAAAGATCGCTTCCAGCGCTTCCAACGAATGGACAATGTATTCGGGTCATCCTTGGGGTTGAAGCAGGGAAGACCCTTAATTTCTGTTGCCAACAATTGAGCCGATTCTTGGCTAGAACTAGCTTGACTAGCCTCTTTGTTCACCGACATATTCCGTCAAGGAAATTACTCCAAAGAAAACAAACGTTACAAAATATACTCCACCAACATCAGAAAGTCACCATCCTCGTCGCCAATGTAATATTCTACCCGATTTAATGTCAGATTGTTTCAAAAACAATGGATTTTAACACACACGTTTTATTAAAGTAAACTACAAAAATACAGCCATGTTGGAAGCCACGCCACTTCCACTTAACTTCCTTAAACTTCCTCAATAAACACTACACTTTCTGATGCTATTGTCTCCCTCTCTTCCACAACTTGCTTTTCTCCATTTCTGTAGATGCAATTTCCATTGCAGTCATGAACCAGACTCACTTTTTCCATAATAGAGCTGGAGTCCACCAAATGTTGCTCTCCACTCTCTTCAAGAACAGGGGACAGGAGTTTACCATGTACAATATCTCCAAGTTCATCTTCTATTGGATAGAATGGTGTTGTCAGGACCCACTTTCTGTCAATTCCATCACCAGAAAGCTGCACTGCTGTGCGAAACATTCCAAAACAGGTCTGTAATGATGCAAAAATTATGGAAATGAACTGCTTACCAATGTTCTCTGTGATCAACCTTATTAATCTATAAAGTTAATAGATCACATACCTCATGATTTGAATTCACATATACAAATGTATCCCCAGTTTTAACAAGTGTCTTGTCTTGTGCAATACATCCTTTGAATTTCTTGCACTTGGGATGTAGGTTGACAGTGACATTTTGAAGAGCATCCATGGGTATTAGATCCTGTGTAGGAAATTCCTTCATTCTTCCATTTTCATAGAATCCCTTGATTGGTAAGAAATTTATTATGTTGACATTATTTAATCTGCTGACTGAGTTGTACCTGAGATTTAATGTTTTGTCAATACTTACAAGCCTTAGAGTTCCTGGCTGATAGATGTCCTTGTCTGATTGACTGCACTTAGACTCAACTTGGTACATGAACTTTTGCACCACAGGTTGTTGGCTTATTTTAATTAGTCCCTGCGAGGCAGTCAACCTATATTTAAATTACATTATTTTTATGACTGTTAAATGTGTAACCAATCTATGCAATGTTTACAGTAATAATAAATCTAGGGCTTATATTTGTTAATTTAATGACTGCCTCAAACTTTTAAGAACTAAAATTCTTTAGTTTCATTTACTTGTTGTTAGTGCCCCAACGTCCACCATTTATCGAAAACTTCAGGATGTGATGCTTGACAAACTTCTCACCAATGTCTTTGCTACTTGCATGACAATTTGAATATATGTTGAGCTGTCTTATAACAGAATTAAAAGCTTCAAACCTAAAATATATGTAATAAAAATGTAATATCATAACTGTCAATAGCTATAGTTATTCAAATATGATTACCTGTAATGTTTCGCACATATGTATAATGAATGTACCGTTCAGTGCAGAAGCCAAGTGGTGGACCAAAATTCAAAATATCGTCAGGAAGGTGAAGAAGCATGTGGAACTTTTGTTTCTGCAACATCTCTGGATGGACTTCACTCATGCATTCTATCATTTGCTCCACGAGGTTGGTTATGTTGTCACCATCTTGAACATCCACTTCTGACCCATATGCCATTGCAAATGCCTTTAAAACATGTATACAAAAACAAAAGTTTGTAAAATGTTGCAAAGAATTGATGTCGCACAGTCAAAGGATTGGGTTTTGTTTGTTAAACATACCTCGCAGAGATAATACCAGACTTGAAGTTTGTCATCTGTGATAAATCCATCGAGAATGAATACAGCAATCAGAGCCCAAATCTTGAAGTCTCTCCCAACGCAAGACGCATAGTTTTTGACAAAACTGCTTGGCAAACGTCGGGAGAATGCGGAAAAATCAAACGCTTCCATCTTGGCTTTAACAAGTTTCTTCTGTGCAGCAGGGAAGCATTTCATCGTTTTCTTTACTAAGTACTTAACAGGGCCAAGGAGGATAGTATGAAGAATCTCCACAGGTACCTGTCTTCAGTGGTTAATTGGAAATCACATTAATTTTAGCAAGCTTAATTCACACTGTATTGACTTTATTGTATATTGTACTTACTTGGTTGGTTCGAAACTAGATAATATATCAAACTGTCCTCCTTTTTCTGTTGTTCCTGTCGACTTACGTATCTTCTTCTTTGCATTTTCAGTACTATTTTGGGAAGATTAGTGAATATTGTTATTCATTCACTATAATATATAAGGCATTTTTCACTTCCAGTTTAAAAGAGAAGACTCTACTGCTTATAATAGGTTAACATTTCAAATCCATTATACACACAGTCTTACATTGCGTTGTTTATTCTTTGAATTGTTGTTTTTATCCCCTGCGTTGTTCTTAAATTGCCAACTTCAGTTGCAGTTTCTTTCGTTGCCTACATTTGCAGATAAAATGCAACTATTATGAGTTAACTTCAGCATGATTTTACCCAATAACTTAAATGTTAGTTTAAAATACAAACCAAAAGAATAACAATATATTATATCATATATATTATATTTCTAATAGACTGAAAAGAATGATGTGCACATTCGACAGAAATAGTTAGCAGAACTACCCATATGATGAGCAAACTCCGACACTCTTGGGTTGTCGCATGCTACAAACAGTATTGGACATTGGACAAACACCTTGCAACCGTTCATGGCATCGTACATCACCATTCCTTCTTCCAGATCTGCATAATACAACAATAATTCTTGTAAGAAACATGTTAATCTCTATAACATTGCAATAGCCTTGCCAAGTTTGGCCGGACGACATGCACCATAATTTCTGATAGAGATTGATTCCGTACCCTTTAAATCCTTTGCGATTTCTTTTCCTAACAAGATTGAATCTACCAAGTTAGAAGCACAAATGAAGTGTATATTACTAGAGAGAGAGAGAGAGAGAGAGAGAGAGAGAGAGAGAGAGAGAGAGAGAGAGAGAGAGAGAGAGAGAGAGAGAGAGAGAGAGCAAGAAGTATCTGCGCTTTTGTAACCTTATTAGGGCATTTTTGTAACCATGTAGGGCACTTTTGTAACTTTATAGGGCACTTTTGTAACTTAGGGCACTTTTGTAACCAGGGCATTTTTGTAACCAGGGCATTTTTGTAACCCTGGCATTTTGGTAACCTTTGTGAGGCATTTTGGTAACCTTTGTGAGGCATTTTCGTAACTTCGTGTGGCATTTTCGTAACCTTTTTTGTTTTCATCAAAAATTGCATGTCAAAAATTATTAAAACACCCTCGAAAGTTTAACTAAGAAAATTGTTGCACATTTCCTGTTAAGTTCTTTATCCTTTACGAAAAAAACACACTTTTAATTTAAAAGAACACATTTGCATAGTACACTGAAACAAAATGTGTACGGACACGCTAAAGCGCATGCTATTTTAATTCCTGAAACAAACACACACACACCAAGCTCACCTGTAAGATACATTTATTGATTCTTTGATGATCATTTCCATAAATGTAATTATGAATTAACAAATTAAACTTTCTACATATGAGATTTACTACCTATTATGAAAATTAAATCAACTATAACACTGTAAGTATGTACATAATACCATAAAAGGTGTTCCAAAAAACCCAAACTACCGAAATCACCTATTGTCAAAAAGTTTGCTGTCATCATTCAATTAGCCCTATGTCAGGCATTTATACACTTGTGGGTCCCAACAGTGTGTTTAGGCATTCAAACTATTGCATTGCTACGAGTGATTTCAACAGTTTTAGGTCTTTTAGGACACCATGTGCAGTACGAATACATTTGCGCACCTTCGCGAAATTTTCTTCCGCCATATTTATCAAACTTTTACATTTCGAAGTTTACGTTTCGAAGTTACGTTTCAACTTTTTATTTATCAAACTTGATGGTTGATTTCGCATCACTTGGCCATGTCTCCACCGAATCCAGTGCCTTTTTCGACCAAAAGGAATGTTTTTTGCGGTTGACTCATTGTGAGCCATCAGCTTTTCCAACTTCTCACTTAATTCTGGATTCCTCTGGTGTATGTTTGTTACTGCGTCTTGCGAAATGAGGTGGTTGTCACTTTTACTTCAACGCCAGCTTTCCGAAACACCGACTGGACAGCCGTGTTTATCTGGCTAGAAGACATCCTCTTTCCATTCCAGGACTAGAATACGGTACACTGGTAGATGTAGTCACTTGGGGCCTCATTCTCTCCAGAAAAATTGACAACCAAGCCTCTAATTTCTTACTCAGAACAATGTAGGCTGGACCATGGACATGTCTGGTCTTGTGGTTCTTGACTGCGATCACATGATTACCACCTTGGGTTCGCATGTTCTGGTATTCAGCCATAGCCATGTATGTTATCACACCGGTCAATATCATAAAGAATCATGTAGCACAAACAGTCAATATAGAACCATATAAGCCAACAGTCAATATTATAGAACCATATAAGCAAACAGTCAATATTATAGAATCATTTAAGCAAACAAGTCAATATTATAGAATCATGTACGTAAGCAAACAGTCAATATTATAGAATCATGTACGTAAGCAAACAGTCAATACTATGGAATCATGTAAGCAAACAGTCAATATTATAGAATCATGTAAGCAAGCAGTCAATATTATAGAATCATGTAAGCAAACAAGTCAATATTATAGAATCATGTAAGCAAGCAGTCAATATTATAAGAATCATGTAAGCAAACAGTCAATATTATAGAATCATGTAAGCAAACAGTCAATATTATAGAATCATGTAAGCAAACAGTCAATATTGTAGAATCATGTAAGCAAACAGTTAATATTATAGAATCATGTAAGCAAACAAATCAATATTATAGAATCGTGTAAGCAAGCAGTCAATATTATAGAATCATATAAGCAAACAGTCAATATTATAAGAATCATGTAAGCAAGCAGTCAATATTATAGGAATCATGTAAGCAAACAGTCAATATTATAGAATCATGTAAGCAAACAGTCAATGTTATAAGGATTATGTAAGCAAACAGTCAATATTATAAGAATCATGTAAGCAAACAGTCAATATTATAGAATCATGTAAGGAAACAGTCAATATTATAAGAATCATGTGTAAGCAAACGGTCAATATGGTAAGCAAACAGTCAATATTATAGAATCATGTAAGCAAGCAGTCAATATTATAAGAATCATGTAAGCAAACAGTAAATATAGAATCATGTAAGCAAGCAGTCAGTTATATTATAAAATCATGTAAGCAAACAGTTAATATTATAGAATCATGTAAGCAAACAGTTAATATTATAGAATCATGTAAGCAAACAAATCAATATTATAGAATCATGCAAGCAAACAGTCAATATTATAGAATCATGTAAGCAAACAGTCAATACTATGGAATCATGTACGCAAACAGTCAATATTATAGAATCATGTAAGCAAACAAGTCAATATTATAGAATCATGTACGTAAGCAAACAGTCAATATTATAGAATCATGTAAGCAAACAGTCAATACTATGTAATCATGTACGCAAACAGTCAATATTATAGAATCATGTAAGCAAACAAGTCAATATTATTGAATCATGTAAGCAAACAGTCAATATTATAAGAATCATGTAAGCAAACAGTCAATATTATAGAATCATGTAAGCAAACAGTCAATATTATAGAATCATGTAAGCAAACAGTCAATATTGTAGAATCATGTAAGCAAACAGTTAATATTATAGAATCATGTAAGCAAACAAATCAATATTATAGAATCATGTAAGCAAGCAGTCAATATTATAGAATCATGTAAGCAAACAGTCAATATTATAAGAATCATGTAAGCAAACAGTCAATATTATAGAATCATGTAAGCAAACAGTCATTATAAGAATCATGTGTAAGCAAACGGTCAATATGGTAAGCAAACAGTCAATATTATAGAATCATGTAAGCAAGCAGTCAATATTATAAGAATCATGTAAGCAAACAGTAAATATCATAGAATCATGTAAGCAAGCAGTCAATATTATAGAACCATATAAGCAAACAGTCAATATTATAGAATCACATAAGCAAACAGTTAATATTATAGAACCATGCATGTGAGCATGCAAACAGTCAATACTACAGAATCATGCAAACAAACAGTCAATATTATAGAATCGTGTCAGCAAACAGTTAATATTATAGAATCATGTAAGCAAACAAATCAATATTATAGAATCATGTAAGCAAGCAGTCAATATTATAGAATCATGTAAGCAAACAGTCAATATTATAAGAATCATGTAAGCAAACAGTCAATATTATAGAATCATGTAAGCAAGCAGTCAATATTATAAGAATCATGTAAGCAAACAGTCAATATTATAGAATCATGTAAGCAAGCAGTCAATATTATAGAATCATGTAAGCAAGCAGTCAATATTATAGGAATCATGTAAGCAAACAGTCAATGTTATAAGGATTATGTAAGCTAGCAAACAGTCAATATTATAGAATCATGTAAGCAAATAACAGTCAATATTATAAGAATCATTAAGCAAACAGTCAATATTATAAGAATCATGTGTAAATATTATGAAATCCTGCAAACAAACAGTCAATATATATATATATATTATAGAATCATGTAAGCAAACAGTCAATATTATATAAGAATCATGCAAGCAAACAGTCAATATATATTATAGAATCATGTAAGCGAACAGTCAATATTATATAACCATGTAAGCAAACAGTCAATATTATAGAATCATGTAAGCAAACAGTCAATATTATAGAAACATGTGTCAATATTATGAAATCCTGCAAACAAACAGTCAATATATTATAGAATTATGCAAGCCGTATGAAGTTCATTTAAAACATCACGCAATTCGGTCAAAAGATCCTTTATAAGCTGGCAGATTATCATAATTGTCCACCAATTCCTCTCTGGTTATGTTTGCCTTTGCCAAACTGCGCGCTTTCTTCGATTGTTGAGGTTGTCCCTGTTTGGAAGCCATATTTAACGTTTATTGCTCTTAATTAATCGTATCCGTTTTAAGCAGTGCTTTCACAACCAAATTTTCAATTTCCTTTGGAAAAGGGCAAAACTCCTTGCATTTTAATAAAATTCCTTAAACTTGTAAAATTACAATTATTACTGTCAGGTTTTTTTTCAAGAAAATAAAACTGTTTGAAAAAAATTGATTATAAAAAGTTACAAATTGTAACCTTCCAGGGCTAATTAACGGGAGGCGTTTTCCAGGGCTAATTAACGGGAAAAGATCCTAAAAACTCTTCAGAATTTAATGTCAACGAGTTCCCAATAAATCTACAGGGGTAGATGCAGTTTGTAAAATAAAGCAAACTTGATGGAGGAATTTTGATAATTTGCCTCGAATAAATCGATTGAGACTATTGCGTCGGTTCGAACTAAAATAGGATAAGCAGACAAACTATAGTAGCCTATCACATGAAATTAATACGAGTATACTAGATAATTGACATCAATGAGAAATATCTATTAAACTAAGAATTAGCATGCAATATTAGCACTAAATTGATTTTAGCAGCGCCTATCCAAACACTTAGCACA